CCGAGAGCGACCGAAGCAGATTACATCATGAAAGGATGAAAACCAACCTTACTCGGTTCATCTCGAACTCCTCACTGACAGATAGCTCCACGGACAGATGAATGGGCACAAACAAACCTTACTCGGTTCAGCAAAATGTCCTCATAAAATCTCCTCATTGACAGAGGGCTCCTCCTCAAGGACAGAGAGCAGAGAGGACAGCGGAATGGAATGACATAACAGAGAACAAACGAAGCTTCTGATGGAACCAAACACCACAGCGAGCTTGAATCGTGAACGCCGGCAACGACGCGGTGACCACGGCGAGAAAAGAGGGTGGGTTTAGAAAAAAAGAAAAGGGGGTGGGTTTGGAAAAAAGGAAAAGGGCCGGGGTTGCTTGGCCAGGATCGGAGCAGGTGCCACGGTTCCTTTGTTTCCATTGGATTTTTTTAAGCCGTTTCCGTTGGATTTTGGTTTGCAGAAGAAGAAGAGATCTGATGTGGTGTCCTTTTGTTTTGGTATAGGTTTTTTTTTCTTTGAGTGGTTTTTGTCTTGGTATAGGTTGCTGACGGGAGGAAGCCCTTGCCGCTGGTGCGGCAGGCCCATTGGGCTGTCGCCTAGTGCGCCGCCGTTTGGTCCATGTGTGTGATTCTGTTGGATAGAAGTAGTGCCGCATTGCTTACCAACATGTGTGTTGCTTCTATGTATCCTATATAATCAATCTATATAGTTCAATGCAACATACACATAATATAATATATTCTTGTGTCTACTACTATTTGGTCCCTTTGTTCTAGATCTATCTATAAATAAAAAGGGTAAAAAAATGTGTTGACTCTAGCAGTAAAAAAACGTGTTGACTTAGCTTGGCCTCTACAGGATCAATCGAGCTAGGTATCCGTGTTCAACTCCATTCATGGCCCGCTTGAGATTCGAGCGGCAGTGATGTGGGTGTAGTACTAAGGGGTTAAGTAGGACAACTCTTTCATTTTTTTCGAATACCACCGACTGTCTCAACGGTAAAGACTCCGCAGCTTAGCCCCCGAGACCCGTGTTCGAGTCCCAGGTGTCCTAAATTTTTTGTTTTAATTTTATAAATTATTAAATGACTTTGGGACATTTCTCATCACTGCCGGTTGTACATATAAACCGATAGTGATGGGGAACCATCACTACCGGCCCAACCGTCAAACCGGCAGTGATGTGGCTGTACCGGTTTGGGGTTTAGTAGTATAACTTTTTCCTTCCTTTCGAATTCCTCCGACTGCCTCAACGGTTAACACTCCGCAACTGAGCTCCCGAGACCCGTGTTCGAGTTCCAGGCGGCCCAAATTTTTTGTTTCAATAAATATAAATATATACGTCTAGACTTCCGATAGAAGGACATTGAGACGGCCATTTTCTTCCGAGCTACTACTAGTAGTGATGGATCCACACCTCCTTCGCGCCACTGGTCCCCAACCTGTTTGTAGTCCCTGCTCGCAATACTCGAAGGAGCCTAGCCCACAGTCGGCTGGGCTCAGGCTCCTTCAAGTATTGCGAGCAGGGAATCCCTCACTACCAGTAGTAGCTCGAAAAAGAATGTCCGCCCCAATGTCCTTCTATCAGAAGTCTAGACATATATATTTATATTTATATTTAGCTGGTGTTTAAATGCAGAGAGTAAAGTTTAGAAATGATATGTCGGCATATTTGTTGAGTTGACAGAGTATTAATGAGGAGGAGAGAGGAGATGAGAGTTTCATTAGGATCAAACATCCTTCATAGGGTCATAGTTGAACTTGAGTTCTCTCATGTTCACTAGCCTCTTCGGGTTCGCACGGTAGCCCGTCGGGACTTTGAGTTCATTGAAGAAAGAAATAAGCGCACGCTTTTCTTCCTTCTTCAATGTCCATGACGCAACCGGAAGTTTGAACTGGCCATTCTCTAGCTCCACGGCATGCAGCTCCTTCCTGATTCCCAAGTGTTGCATGTCTAGGCGTGTGGCTAGTGAATCCTTCAATGTCCCCCCGGTGTCCATCAAGGTGTTAAGAGTGTTAGCGCACACGTTTTTAGTGATGTGCATGGGATCAAGACAGTGGTGTACACTCAGAAATGCCCAGTAAGGTAGTTTCCAGAAAATCGATTTTTTCTTCCAAACGCTACCATCAGGCGTTGCTACTGCATTGTCCCCCTTCCCAAGGACAACATCTAGTTTGTTGAGTTCTCGAAGTATCGCAGGCCCGTTTTGATATTTTGGAGCTAAGCGTTTCTCAATAGTACCGTTGAAATCTTTTCTGTTCCTACGGTAAGGGTGATCCTTAGGTAGGAACCTACGGTGTCCCATATAAACTATCTTCGAGTTATTTGGCAGATTTACCACATCGGTGGCGTCCAAGCACTCGACACATCCAGTATAGCATTTTGTCTTCTCTCCGAACAACGAACCTCGACCAGGCAGGTCGGTGATTGTAGCGATAAGTACTCCCTTGATCGTGACATGTTCCTATTTGTACTCGTCCCAAACATCTGGCACACCCTTTTCAAACATCTCCACTAGTTCATCGATCACTAGTTCCAAAAACATATCGATGTCATTCCCAGGCTGTCTTGGCCCTTAGATCAGTAGTGGCATCTGGATGTACGACCGCTTCATATAGACCTAAGGTGGAAGGTTGTATATACAGAGCGTCACTGGCCAGGTGCTATGATTGCTTCTAACATGGTCGAAAGGATTCATCCCATCTGTGCTCAAAGCAAACCAAAGGTGCCTTACCTCTCCACCGATGTCCTTATAGAACAAAGTATTGACAGTCCTCTAGTCATGCCCATCGGTGGGGTGCCTCATCATTGTATCTTTCTTACGCTCTTCGCCATGCCAGCGCAACAGCTTGGCTGACTTTGCACATGCAAACAGCCTATGCACCCGGGGAGCTATAGGGAAATACCAAACGACCTTTATGGGACCTCCTCTAGTCTTGGTACCCTCATCTGACGGCCCTTCCTTGTACCGTGGAGCTTCACACTTGGGGCACTTGTCCAAGTCTTTGTATTTTTCTCCATGGTACAATATGCAATCATTGGAACACGCGTGGATTTTTTCAACCTCGAGGCTGATGGGGCAGATCATTTGCTTGGCCAAGTATGTCTTTTCTGGCAACTCGTTTTTTTCTGGGAGCATTTTCCTTATTATACCTAACAACTGATCGAAGCCTTTATCACTCAATCCGTTTGTTGATTTGAACTCTAACAGCATGATGTCGGCTTCCAATTTGCTCATTGGACAATTCCTATACAATGGTGTTTTGCCATCTTGTCTCATTTTCTCTAGCTTTCTCAGCTGTCTTTCACTAAGACATCCGATCTCTACATTATGTAGCAGCTGAGAAATGCCATCATTATCCTCGGTGTCGTCAGCTAGCGTGTTCCTAAACACATTATTAACTGTGGCTATAGGTTCCGTGTTGACACTGGGTTCCTCGTTAGCATCGTGGATGGCTACGTCAGGCATGTCCACATCATCATCGTTTTCCTGCAGAACATTCACATCAACCTCGCCATGCATAGTCCATATTGTATAGTTTGGCACGAACCCCCTGGTAATCAAGTGCGATCGTATAGACTCAATTTGACGAAAGTTCCTATGATTCTTGCAATCTTTGCATGGGCAGAAGATATGGTTTCCATTCCCAGCATGGGCTTTGGCATCGGTGATAAACTGGCTGACGCCATGCATGTACCGCTTGTCCGTTCGGGACAGATGCATCCACTCTCGATCCATCTCTGCACAAAAAAATACTAAGACAGTAATTACCAAGAATTGATAAGAAATCGAGCTTCATGAACAATAATTGTAGCTCGAAAGTACCATTTTTGGAAAACATTATTGTACACTAATTATTGAAAATTTTAAATTGGTAGCCCTGGCCTGTAAATTGAAAATCGTAGTAAAAAATAATTATTGCACAATATTGAAGAACAACTATTCTAATCTATTTCTAAAAACTAATTATAGCATCACATACTAACAATGATGATCTTGACCACCATGCAATAATTAGCTAGGAATTTAAATGTGTTCATAGACACCAACCTTTTGGATAATGGATTCACCACAATTTGAGCCTTGCACAAATATCCAATTGGAAAAGTGCTATCTAGAATGGAGAAAGAACTAGAATGAGAATCAAGCAATGTAGCCATCAAAACGAAGCTAATTAAGCAACAAAATCAAAGGAGTGGATGTTTGTTACTAACCTTAAAGCAAAAAGATCAAGCCATTCTTCAAAATCCAAGCACTAGCTTCATGGTGAAGAGTAGCCGCAACAATGGAGGGAATGGTCCAAACGCGCACCTCTGTTCTCGGGATGGAAGAGAGGAGGAAGGAGAGGACGACTGCAGCCTTTTTGTGTTGCAGGCTTATGACCGTCGGTTCTTGGCTAGAACCGACAGTGATAGTGCCCAATCACTGTCGGCTCTTGGCTTAAACCGGCAGTGATGAGTGCCCGCCAAAACACTGCCGGTTCAAGCCACAAACCGGCAGTGATGTGATCCTTCTCTGCCAGTTTTAGCCCAGCACCAATCATTTTTTTATTTTCAAGCTCATAACCGGCAGTGAAGATACATCACTGCCGGTTCTCATAAATCCGGCAGTGATGAGGCCGGCAGTGATGTGCAAATCTGGCGTAGTGCTTGTTGCAGGTCTCCCACTGTTCAGTAGGAGCAGATCCACACCAAGCTAAGACCACATAACTACTACTACCACATGTAACCTCGGACTACAGTGCTGCTCTGCTTGCTGAATGCAAATAGCCATTGCAAAGCCAAAACAGACGTCATAGATGAATGTAACCTCCTCACTTCTCATGATATTGCTCTCTAATTAATCTATGACTACAGAACTACATCTACTGCCCTATAACACAAAGCTCGTTTGATCAAATATTAACATTAGGTAGCTCTGTAATCAGGCCATGGGCTATCTGAACAATTACCATTTTTGTTTCTTGACTGGTGTACAAGTTTAGTGCCACTGTTTTATCATGACGAATAGCATTGGCAGGAACCCACCGGTGCGGGCAGTTGACACATGGCCATTTTGCCTCTCTTTCCATGGGCTGATCATGTATCAATGTTTGGCACTATGACATTGCTGTAGCATGTAGTTCTCTCCTAGCTGCTGTATGTTCACACGACGCATTCTCAGTTTGTTGTCCATGGGGAAAATTAATTACCAGGGTGACATTTGATTCCCCTGCTTTGTTATCCTTCATCCTGGTCAGTGTTTGTGGAATCTGTAGCTCTGGACTCAGGCACTTGGGAATTCAGGCAACGCTCCTGATAGCATTTGATTGGATTATTCTGCATTCTGAATAAAAAAAATCAAGTATGTTCTTCTGATGTATTAGAAGGTCATGCATGATTAGTTCATATATATGGCCAGTTGTTGGCCTTAGTCAGTTGTAGTTTCTTCTAATATTCTTGTACTGTAAATCTGTACAGAAGCAATTCTTCTTTTAGTATAAAGTAATTTTTTAAATTTTTGTTAGCAATTTTCTTAATTTGTTAAGGCAGTTTTGCTGCTATTTTTTCGTAGATTTTCATGCAGGAGGGCAACCTAACTACGACACAGGTCTCACGTGTATTCTGGCTTCCAGATAACCATTTAGACCATCGTCAAATGGTAAGTTCATATCTTCACATGTATTTAGGTTTCGTCATACATGATTTTTTCTTCCTTAGTGACATTCATTGATAATAACCAACCCAACATAGGTGAGGTTCCCTGTGCTTCAATCACTTAGAGATGGAAAATCTGCAACAAAAGTAGGACACTACTTTTTGCTTGTCCTGAACCTACGAAACCAAAGGTTTGAGGTGTTAGACTCAATGAGAACTCTAGAAGATGAAGCTCTCTTCAAGTGCTGCAACACCTTGATAGGGGCAATCAAAGAACTTTGGACCGAACATGGTTATGAGGCAAAGAAGCCCATATGCAATTATGAACTTGTTGATATTGGTGTTCCAATCCAGTCCAACAAGTAAGTAGTTTTTCTGGTCTAACTAATGTTACCTTTCTGCATACAGTCAGATTTGTTATCTGCACTGAGTTCTATATTGTTTGTTTTGTCTCTGCGGTCATGACTGTGGTTTCCATATGTTGATGCATGCTGAACATTGGAATGGATGTTCAATGCAATATTTCAAGGAGAGTGACATCCCTAATATACGCAAGCTTCTACTGCATAAGTGGCTAACTCACAAAGATAATGTTGTGCAGAATTGGAAAGACAGGCTGCATTTATAAGAGGTAAAGCTTGTAAACAGTTTTGTAATGGTTTCCTGTAATTAATGCCTATGCTGCAATGTTTCCAAAAAAACTGTAAAGCCTAATATTACAACTCTAGATAACTATACCTAACAATATCTAGTACACCTGCTACTACTATAGCCACTACTAGCTACAGCTGGTCAGTACCAGGCTGAGATCAAGCACTACTTATTATGTGTGTGAGGCAAGTTATTAGTCAGGCAATTTATTAGTAGTCAGGTAAGCAATTTAATATCATTTGCCAAGCAAGTTATTAGTATTCTGGTAGCAGTTATTTGTGCCCAACACCAAAAATGTGCCTACAACCTCTGTGAAACCAGAGCAGAACTGGCTAACAGCAGTGTTGAGCATACTTTTTTCGGCAAAGGACAAAAGAAGATGAAAAAACAGGTGTAAGTAATGGAATGAAACACCACACACAAATTTTGGACAAAACCCAAAAAAATGAGTGAAAGTGAACAAGTGGAATGCCCACAAGATTCATACAAGCTTGTGTTGTGCAGGCCCACGAATGGGGGGGGGACAAGTAGAGTTAAGCAACCATATAAGCAATAAAAGGGATGGCCTTTTTGACTAGTAAGATAAGAATAGGCTAAATTGCCTATTTAGGAAGACATTGTTGCCTAAATGACACTTAAATTGCCTAAGAAATACGAAGATGCTAAAATGGGGATGCTAAGAACACGGGATTCATGAAAAGGCAAGGCCATCACGGGATTCATGAAAAGCTAAGCTGGACTCTAGGAAAAAGGATGAATCAGCATACTACTAAACAAGTCAAAAGTAGGCGCAAAAGAAACTACACAGAAAAAATGGATGAAGTATAGGATGAATCAAAGTTTTGTAATTTATTTATTTATTTATTTCTTGTTTAAAAAACAATCAAGCAATGGGCTAAACTCTAAACTTAGTAAATAGGAAAGGCAATGCACATTAACATTTGAGTCAGCGCATATAAGATGTACAATGGGTCTGCCAACACAAATTTTCACACAAACACACTCAAGTACATTTTAGTAACACTATTTCTTAATTTAAACTATTTCTTGATTTTTAAACTTCTCTTCTGGGCTTGTCTAGACATCTCTGTGCATTGTGATCATATGATCTGCAAATGTTGCACCTATTCTTCCTCTTCGCTTGACCATCCATCCCCTTTTTGTGCGTCTTCTCCTTCCTGTGCCCTTTGGCATTTGACTTTGGCGGGTTCCCTACATTTGATGAGCTTGGACCAACCGCTACACCTACATGGTGAAATGCAATATCAGCAACTAAGTAATCAAGTACATGTGTACTAGGATGAAGTAAAGCAGAACATAGGGTCTAGTTTTTAAACTTGCAGTTCGTAGTGAAGGTCCAGTTGGAGTAGAGGCACCTGGACCAGTGTTCTGTAGCACCAGTGTAGCACTAGGGTCTTGTGCACCTTCTGTAGCACCAATGTTCTGCCAATTCGCCATCTTCCTTTTCTTGATTTCTTAAAATTCAGATCGCATCTGCTTGATGTGCTTCTCCAAAACAGCATAGTTTTCATCACTCGTACAGCCCTCAACTGCTAGTGCTGCAAATGCGGTGGATGCGATGGTGAATCTCAGAGTTTTCTGGCCGGTCAATGACATCCCACGGGCTACAAGTTCCACCGGTGCCTGCACATTTTGGACCTGATTTGCATCACTAGTAATTGCTTGCTGCGTCCACCTTTTAAGGATGTAACTTTCTGGTATCAATTTCACCCCCATACTGACCATAACCCTCATAATGTGGCAGCAAATGATTCCATCCCTATCAAACTTGCTGCACTCATAGCAGTAGCTTTCCTCCTCTTCTATTGCTGTAACAAGGTAGTTCCTTTTTCCATACCCATAAACAAAGATGTTATTGGGCTCCACCCAATATTGGAACTGCCCTATAGGCTTCACATCATATTCTGCAGTTTTCTCAAACTCTTTGGAGAACTTGTAGAACATATTCTTTGTGTATACAGTGGAAGCATGCTTCTCAAGCAAATGCCTTGACCATTGTCTTCTCTCATTCTCATCAGTCCTGAAGTCTTGCCCATCCTGTGCTACCAGACACTTCTCTTGTATTTTCTGGTACTGTGTCACAAACTGTAGCACGGACAAGTTTGGGTTCACATACTTCTTGAGCAAAGCATTGAACCCCTTGCTCCTTTGAGTCGACTAGAGGAATGGGAAGAAGCTGTGCATGTAGTAGGTTGGAATGAAGGTCTGCCTTATGTGGTACAGATGCTGAAAATGCTTATTGCCCTCCAAATCATGTTTCTGGACCATAGCGGCCCACTTTGACTCAAAATCTTCGGGACTTATGGTGTGGTTCAAGCAATCCACAAACTCCTCATTTAGTTCTTCATTTTTAGAAAGGATCGGTCCAATTGTGCCAGAAAACTTGTCCATGATATGCCACCAGCAATTCCTATGGGTCGTGTTTGGAAAAACGGTGCAAATGGCGGCTCTCATCGCAGCGTCCTGATCGGTGATTATGTTGATTGGTGCCTTTCTATCCATTGCCTCTAGAAATGTTACAAACAACCATTCATAGGTAGCTACCTTCTTATTCCTTATAAAGGCACATCCTAGCTGAAAAGTTTGGCAGTGTCTATTGATTCATATGAATGGTGTACAAGGCATCTCATATATGTTGGTCATATAGGTTGCATCAAATAAGACGCAATCACTATATGCCTCTTTGTAAGCTCGTCTTGCAATTGAATCAACCCAAAACAAGTTCTCAACCCTATGGTTGTCATCGAGCTTGATCTTGTAGAAGAAATCAGGGTCTTCTTCTTTCAAAGCTCTGAAGTAATCCAAAGTTTCCTGCATATCTTTGAATTTTTTCGTCCTATGGATGGTGGAGCGAAAGTTCAAAACTTGTTTGCCCTCGTATGGCACCAGCTGTGCAGAGCCATATAACTCGCTCATCAACTGCATGATTCTACCCATGCTCAAGTTGCATCCGTGTAGCAAAACGATGAAATCCTTTTCCGGCTTCAGTATCCCTCTATGAGACCTTAGAAACTCCTTGAGCTAGGGCTTTACCACAAGATCATGGTTGTGCTCGGCCAGAAAATAGATGACTTCCCACCTAGAGCCAATCATTTTGACCACCATCCTCGCCTTGGAGTTTGTATATAGCATTTTCTCCCTCTTCCTTTTCTTACATCCGTCAAGCTTCTTCCTCTTGTCCCCTTGATCATCCTCTTCCTCTTGTGCGCTATCCTCCTCTTTGACTTCATCATTGTCAAAGTAACAAGTGATAGCTTCAACAAGCTGAGCAGCAACTCTCCTTTTCTTGCCAAAGCCTTCCTTATTGCACACGAACTGGACCTTTTGCATTTCTCTTGTGATTGCGGACCGGCGTGACGTGTTTGTTCTAATTGAGAAGCCAATTCTTTTTAAATAAGAGTTATAGTACTCTTTTGCTTTGTCCAAGGATGCAAAAGATAGCCCATTGTGTGGCATTTGAGGAGTAGACCACACCTCTTCCTCCTCTTCTGCTACTTCATTTCTAGCACCATTCAATTCATTATCAACAACTACAGGAATATCAGTAGAACCTTCATTCCTATCCTCAATCCTTGCCTGTTCAAATGACAATCTGATCTCAGAAACGGTAGGAATAGCCTCTTCTGAAACTACAGGAACCGCCTCTGCTAAACTAGCATGACCAACTTCAGAAAAACTAGGCAAAATCTGTTGGTTCACATGTTCATCATTAGGCTGAGGAACTTCAGGAATTGCAGGCACTTGAGTGCAGAAGGTAGGGTTGGCGGTCACATAATCCAAACCAAATGCATCCAAGAAATCTTCATCCAAATCTAGTGGCAGCTTGTTAAGATCCATATTTGAGAACTGCATGCAAAACAGTAAGTTACATGAAATTAGGCAACTTAGTTAAACCCATTAGGCAATAATACTGTACAAAATTAGGCAAAAAAGGCCAGCAACTTATGCAGTTTTGTTCAGTACATGCTATCAGTTTTGTTCAGTACATGCTATCAGTTACATGAAATTTCATGATAGTTGTGGCTATCAGTTTTCCACAGTTATAGTGGGACTAAAGACTGACTAACACTATACCTAAATGTTACAACCTGTAAAATGGACACATGAGAGTTTAGAAATTTAAGACTTTCCATAGTCAGTTTTCAACTTAATGAATCTACTGTTCTTGTGTTTCCCTCTTTTTGCAGAAAGTTGAAATTTGAGGCTTGTTTGTCCTCAACTCAGTTGATTTAAACATTTTTTCCTTAGTTCTCACTGCCATCTATGTGCTTATCATGTACTTCTATTTAATTGCAGGTGTGAGGCGATCAAGCATCAAAATGAACATGTGCAGCAACCATGTGCCGCAGCTAACACAGGAAAGTTTAATGCATAGGAGTCACCATGTGCAGCAGCTAACACAAGAAAGTTTAATGCATAGGAGTCACCATGTGCAGCAGCTAACACAAGAAAGTTTAATGCATAGGAGTAACCATGTGCAGTAACTAACACAAGAAGGTTTAATGCATCAAGATGTACATCTATAGGAGTGGTGCATACAACATATATCCATGTTAACTTGTAAGAACACCATCTGGTAGTAAGATGTGCAGTAAGAACATTAGTCATTTACATGTCCAAGTTAGGATCAGTAGGAACTGCATTACTATTTATGATGCAAAAGAACTAGATTGTTTATGCAAAACAACTGAATT